TCCAGAAGACTGGAAAGAAGTAACAGCTGTTTTTGCCCGTCTGAAACTAAGGAACAGATCAATAATGATCTGCTGCTACAGTAACTTAAACGTGTTAGTGTAACCAAGGCTGCTGGAAGATTTCCCATGATGCACTGAATTCTACTCCCTCTTTTCACTCCTGATGCATTTATGTGTCACTACTGCAGGGATGCCATTAACTTTTGTCTTCACTCTCCTGTAGTTTGTGTTGGTCCCTGTCTCTCTGTGTCCCTCTTGTCTCAGTTCTCTTTCCTCCGACCAGTCGTAGTCGATGGCTGTCCCTCCTTGAACATGGTTCTCTTAAAAGTCTACTAATTTTAAAATGATGGTCTTCCTCCCCACTGTTGCTGTTCAAACAAGATAAACAAGATACAAAGAGGTATCAACCAAACCACCAGTTTAATAGTTACTTTAGTTTAGCAGTAATTAAATCTAACAACTAACTAAATGCATAACACAAGAATCCAAGGAAGTAAAAACTATATTTAAAGTAAATGACACCAGTCGTCCCTCCATCATATAGCAGGCCTTCTCATTTCCCAACCTGGACTTCCTGTATTTAATAGTTCTGCTTTCAAAGACCCCAAGCACCACGCACAAAACCTTAGGGTGTCACGAGAGTTTACATTTAGCTGAAGGCTCGTTTCTTAGAGTACATGAATTCTGTTTGGATGTTTCCCCTCCTTGGCACAGGATCCCAGAGTTGTAGATTAATCTTGTGTTTGCATGTTACCATGTAAACATGGGAGTTGTGCCATCTTTGCTGAACCAAAAGCACAGAGGGCAGGAGGTCAGGTGTGGGTGATGGTGGCTCGGTCTCCAGTTTTGTCTTCCTCTGTCTCCGTTTTTATTTCTGTCATGCTTTTTATTCACCACCTCCCACACTGACTTCAGATATGTGGTCTGATTAAGCACATCAAGTTTTTGAGATACCCAGCATTGACGTTTTTCAATATTAATATAACAACACTCCGTGTGGAATTTTAACCAACCATCCATTCTCTTCCACTTATGCTTGTCAGGGTCACGAGGCTGCTGGAGCCTATCCCAGCTGCATTAGGGCGAGAGCCAGGTTCACCCTTGACAGGTTGCCAGTGTGCCGCAGGGCTCGCGTAGAGACAGACAAACACTCGCATTCACATTCACACCTGTGGGTAATTTAGTTACCAATTAACCTGTCCCCACCAACTGCATGTTTTGGACTGTGGGAGGAAGCCAGAGTTTAGTTCTGAGAACAAAACAGAAGACCAGAGATGTGTTGAAGCATATTTCTGTCATTTTAGATGAAAATTTAAAAAAAAAGAGTTTTAAACAAACCACATCCAGCCGACCCGACGGGCCAAGGAAAGAGCTCAAGCTCTCCTAAAAGTGACGGAGGTAAACGTTGGGGGGCAGCTGTAGATCAGCCCCTGGCTCAGTGTAATATTTGCTCTTCACTCTGTTTAGACGTCATCTGAAAAATGTAATAAATGATCACAGACAGAGGAGCACAACGCCCGACCACCTAAAATAGTCCCCTTGGTTTACAGAAGCCTTCACAGTTGTTGACTTTCTCCGTCCCTGCATCAGCTCGGTGTTGTGAACTGTTGGTGTCACTGAATTTAGATGAATCCCTAAAAATAAAACACAAGGCGTTGTGGTACGAGTGAATAATGAACACTGTTGTGCTTCTAAGAGGTCATTGTTTGTTGTGCTGAGGGGTTCAGCCACTTCCTGGTTGGGTCATGTGCAGTGCTTGGCTCAGCTTCGCCCGACCTGCTCCAAAGGAGACATTTGACACCGATCGCACAGAGCTTTTTGTTCCTGGAGCCCGTTTGATGTTTGCTCTGTGATGTTGCTTTTATTGGGTTTATTGGTGAAAATAATAGATTATATAAAACAGATTGTATTAGCTTAAGTTAAAGGTTTGCAGGTATGAGAGAAGATGATGAGAATTATTGTTATTATTCGCATTTTTACTACTTTACTACAAAGAATAAACATCTGAAATGAAAAACAAAAAAAAGTTTTTTGTAAAGTTTTGGTAAACTGGTGTTCGTGATTATTTGCTAAGTATTAGTGGCGTTAAACACCAACTAATCTGTTGAAACTGCAAGAAATGAAGCGTGCAGAACGAAATTATTACTCTGTTATCACTAAAGTAGCTTCAGGGGCACTTCTGATGTTTGATGCTATGAAAGAAAGTATGTCAGGATCAGATTCAAAATTAATAAACTAATTTTATGATCATTTAACTGACAATGTAACACTCAGGTACGTGTGGCTTCAATTCTCACATACCCGCATTAGTAATAAGTTTAAGTTTAGTAACTTATGTAAAAGTTTCTCGCCTTATTCTGCACACGTGTAGATGTACAGTGAAGCCTGCTGGCATGAACCTCACATCCATGCAAATAATATGTTATTAGCATGCAGTATGGTCTGCTTGTCAGCCTGTATATGAGGGATGTAGCATGCAGTCGGTGGTGGCTTCACTGCAGAGTGTGACTTGATGGCATACTGCTGCCACTGTTACGCTGCTCTGGTGCCATCGCTCTGCTCTGATCCATGTGAGAAAGCTTGAACTGAGGTGAGAAGTGGTCAAGATCAGATCGAGTCCACAGGTTAATGTCTCCAGCAGCTGAGCTCAACGAATATTAAATCTGAAGCAAAAATAAACAGTCGAGATATGTTATAACCCAACTGTAACCGTAAATAAGTGGACGTGGATACATGGCTGGACGGGTGGACGGCAAAATAAACAAAGTGAGCTTTGCTGCTAACGTGCACGGTCAACTTTAGTCCTTGTTCCTCGTCGTTCTTATTGTAGTGATTAAAAACCAGGCTTGGGAAAAATGCTAGAATGCTATGGTGTGTTGTTAGGGATAAGAGAAATATTTTTAATGTGTATCTGCTCATTATATTGTTTTATGTACTTTAATAAAGGCTTGTAGAGCAAGGCCGCTTTTGACTCCCAAACTAAGTGCTCAGCCAGACTGAAAAACAGGAAGTTTTAGTGCACAGCCGTATTAATAGATAAGACACTGAAATGAGGAACTTGCCATATAAGCAAAGTTTGA